TGTGTGTGTGTGTGTGTGTGGATGCACTGACACATTCGACCCACTACTGCTGTTCTTCCTCTCTCTCTCTCTCACTGTGTGTGTGTGTGTGTGTGTGTGTTTGCGTTTGTTTCGTTCTGGCCGCAACGCATTGTCGGCAGGGGCACATACGCTCTCTCACACACACACACAAGCACAACAATCACTCAAACTCCACTCCAACAGAAAACCGTGAAGTAGCTAGAGTCATGCTTCGCCGTGTGGCCTGCGCTCTCCCATTGGCTGCTGTTGCTGCTGCTAGTAGTAGCGGTGGCGTGCGGCAGCTGAGCACGACGCGGCCGTGCCTGGAGCGCATCAAGGTGAGCGGCAAGCTGGTCGACATTGACGGCGACGAGATGACGCGCATCATCTGGACCCTCATCAAGGAGAAGCTCGTGCTGCCGTACGTCGACATCCCCATCGATTACTACGACCTCAGCATCACCAACCGCGACGTCACCAACGACAGGGTCACGGAGCAGGCGGCGGAGGCGATCCTGCGGCACAACGTGGGCATCAAATGCGCCACCATCACGCCAGACGAGGCGCGGGTGAAGGAGTTCAACCTTAAGAAGATGTGGAAGAGCCCGAACGGCACGATCCGCAATATACTCGGCGGCACCGTCTTCCGTGAGCCAATCATCGTGAAGAACATCCCGCGTGTGGTGCCGCAGTGGCGCGAGCCGATCATCGTCGGTCGCCACGCCTTTGGCGACCAGTACAAGGCGACCGACGCCGTCTTCCCCGCCGGCAAGCTGGAGCTCGTGCACACGCCGAGCGGCGGCGGTGCGCCGCAGGTGTTGGAGGTCTACAACTTCCCCGGCGAGGGCGTCGGGCTCGCGATGTACAACACGCTCGAGAGCATCGAGGCGTTCGCGGTCAGCTGCTTCGAGTACGCGCTGCTGCGCCGCTACCCGCTGGTGCTGTCGACGAAGAACACGATCCTCAAGAAGTACGACGGCCTCTTCCTGGAGACGTTCCAGCGCATCTACGACACGCGCTACCGGCAGCAGTTTGAGCAGCTGAAGCTCACCTACGCCCACCGCCTCATCGACGACCAGGTGGCGCAGATGATCAAGGGCAGCGGCGGCTTCGTGTGGGCGTGCAAGAACTACGACGGTGACGTGCAGAGCGACGTGGTGGCGCAGGGCTTCGGCTCGCTCGGCCTCATGACGTCGGTGCTCCTGTGCCCCGACGGCCGCACGATCGAGGCGGAGGCCGCCCACGGCACCGTCACCCGCCACTACCGCGAGCACCAGAAGGGGAAGGAGACGAGCACCAACTCTGTCGCCTCCATCTTCGCGTGGACGCGCGGCCTGCAGCACCGCGGCAAGCTCGACGGCAACGCGCCGCTCGTCGACTTCGCGGCAACGCTGGAGCGCGCTGTGATCCGGACGATCGAGGGCGGCCACATGACGAAGGACCTCGCGCTCTGCGTGCACGGCCACGACAAGCTGCAACGCGAGCACTACGAGACGACGCAGGGGTTCCTCGACAGCGTCGCCGCGGAGCTCGCGCGCACCCTCAAGGCTTAGGCACAAACCGCAGAGGCACGCAGCCATGCGGATGTTGGGGATGGAGAGAGAGAGAGAGAGAGAGCGAAAGGGGGGTGGAAGGGCATGGTGAGTGCGGTGGGGCGCGGCGATGAGGGGAAGAAAGGGGCAAGGCAAAGAAGGGCACGAGGTCCATCCGTCACCGTGGCGCAGTGTGTGCCAAGAGGAAGAAGAAGAAGAAGGAGGAGGAGGAGGGGTGCAAGGAATATACAAGCAAATCAGGTAAAGAAAAGGACGCAGGACAGAAGGTGGTTATATACAAGAAGGCATGATACGTTGGCATATGAAGAGGGGGGGAACCAAAGCAAACGAAACGGAAATAACAGCGAGGACCACCCCATTGCTGTGTCGCTCCAACGACGGATGAGGAGGAGGTGGTGGTGGTGGTGGCGATGAGGCGGTTGTGGCTGATTCATGCACACACGCAAACAAGCACACAGGGACATATTCGCCTAGAAGCACACAGTCAGTGCGTGTACGCCGGGGGCAGGAGCGGTGGAAGTGTGCGGAGTGGCGTGGAGCAGCGAGGCCGGTGGGGGGAGAGGAAGAAGGACGCGTCTCGCCTGTAGATGTGCATCACGGCAGATGAAGCCTTCTCGTTACTTCCTTTTTCAGGTGCCCTGCACGCAGGCGCGTATCTTTTTTTTTTCTTTATTATGTTTCATCTCATTTCCTCCCGCTTCGTTCTGTTTGTTTGTTTTGTTGTTGTTCTTTCGTTTTTTGTTTTTGTTTTCGTTTTCGTTGTGACGGCTCGCTTGGTGCAATCGTTTGTTTTGTGTGGAGTTCGATGGCTTGTTGCCCTCCGGGCCCCCGGCGCCCCCCCC